CGAAATTCCAAAAACAAATAAACCAATTTCAAAAAAACAACATTCTTTCTTGCTCAAATTTGCCCTAATTATCTTTTTTAATATATATATATATTTGCGCTTTTGGTAGTGTATCTTACAGTTTAAAAACAATTTTTGAATACATCATTTATCTATCCATGACAAGTATTTTCTAAATAGTTGAGGCTTTGTTGCTGTCACGTGTTAGTTTATAAATAAAAACTACCAAATGAACCACCAAACTATTGATAAACGATGGGAAATTCAGCTAAATCACAAAAACAGCTCGAATGACATAACTTCCGGTACATTTAACGGCTTCGCTTATATTATATAAATCTGAATTAATATACAAACTTGCTAAATGCTTGAAATTGTTCATTTGCTTAAAAATCATAAAGAGCTTTAATGAAGCATGAAATGCGTAAATTCTGTAAATACTGCGTCGATATGAAATATTTCGAACATCGTCTTCTGTCTCTGCTTTATTCAGTATCAGCAATTTTCGAACATCGTCTTCTGTCTCTGCTTTATTCAGTATCAGCAATTTTCGAACATCGTCTTCTGTCTCTGCTTTATTCAGTATCAGCAATTTTCGAACATCGTCTTCTGTCTCTGCTTTATTCAGTATCAGCAATTTTCACCTTTCTTTCCTTTGAGTTACGTAGAAATAACTTAATTGATTTTTTGAATTTCCTTTATCTTACACGAGGAGTAGTCTACAATATATGTTTTTAAATGGCGTGATCAATACATTTTAGGTGATTTCACTACAAGTTAAGCTTTTTTTTTTACGGTACATGATTTTTTATCTTCTATTACAATCTGTCTACTTTGTCGTTTAGTCATGCTTTACTGCCACCTGTCGTTACATGATAACCACCCGCATTTTATCTTCTGCTTCAACGTTCACCAGTGAAACGATCGTAACCTGAAACCTCAGGCTTGCTTAAGGAAAAAAAATAATAATAAAGTGAATGGCCAACGAGTCGATAATTTCAAGTCTGATTTTATCGCCATGTTCACTCTTGAAGCAACTATAATTTCGATCTTGTAGATTTTATTTTTGATCTAATGGTTGAGGTGACCCATCG